ACAGTCGTATATACTGATATTCTAGCCACTTTTTTTCTTTTCAGAATCACCAAAGATGCTATTTGCTTGAGGCCAAATTTGTCCTTTCCTTTTTAAGTTTTGACATGTACATTTTCAGATTGCAGAGTTTTACATTTTAGCTGAGCCTCTTAGGTCAGAAAAAAGGGATTTTCCTCCAAGATAAGCTTGAGGGCTTCTTTTAAAACAGTTTCCTTTATATGTTTGAGGGTTTTGCTTTCTCTGTCCTTCCATTGTTTATTTTCCAACAGCTCTAACAGAAAGAATAGATATGGTTGGTTTTGTTGGGTAATTTTGCTAGTTAACCTAAATAAGTTAATCAGGAATAGTAATATGTTATTTTAAAAAAAAAAATAATAATGTTTTGAAGTCTTTGTCTTCAAACAAACTTCCTTTATTGGAGTATTACTGCAAAAATGTGGGAGTGTGCACACATGGATAACCTAGCAGACTTTTCTAAAGAATTTGGAGCAGTTCCTAACTTCTGTCTTGGTTGAGGAGAGGCATTGAGGCAACAAAATGCAGCCTGCTGACCAGTTAGGATTTGTCAGATGCCAGTTCTGACTACTTTTGTCTGTTGCACTTAACTTCTATCAGCCCATGCCTCAGAGGACGGCCTGGCTGCAGCGTCATACAGCCAGCAGTACCAAGGCAAGTGTGCCCAGCCATGGGTCAGAGAAACCACCCCAGCACACAACTTCAGAGGAAAGATCATAGGTGTTGTTCCTTCCCACCTCTGGGAGCTTTGTTGTCAGAGCACTGCGGGCCTGTTTGAGGGGCAGCAGTTTGTAGGGTGTATGATGTTGTTTGACAAGGATCACTAGGGAACAGCTTTGGAGCTATTGCTCATGTTTCCTCCACTGGGCAAACCTTTGCTCAAACAGAGCCAAGGCTGTTAGAAACGGCATCTATCGTCTTGACTTTCTCACCTGATGCAAGAGAACTGGGAAACAGTGACCGTTTTATCCCCTTACTGTCACATACATTGCAAGTTACTCCTGTTCTAGTAACTGGGGAATGAATTACACTTTTTAGTTCAAGAATTACTGGGAGCGAAGTCTAGGGGCAACTTGTTCTCTTGCATATCCAGGGAGTCTTAACAGTTTTAATTTATAGGATAATAACATAGTCTCTGAAGTCTGTGATGAGTGTTTCTACATCATTATTGCTCCCTTCAATTCCTCGTGCTATAAGAGAAAAATACCAAGAAATATCAGATGGGAGGGTGTAAAGAAGACTTTTCTCAGTGATGCTCAATGACAGGGCAAGAGGGAATGCACCAAAATTGAAACACATGAAATTCCATGGGACCACACTTTTTTACTGTGGTGGCTGTTGAACACTGGCACAGATTGCCGAGAGATTGTGGAGTCTCCCTCCTAGGACATGCTTAAGACCTGCCTGAGCATGATCCTGGGCAACTGGCTGTAGGTAACCCAGCTTGAGCAGAGGGGGCTGGACTAGACAATCTCCAGAGGCCCCTTTCAACTTCAGCTGTTCTGTGATTCTGTGAAATATATGTACTGATGATGAAAGCTTCACGTCTCAGTACTGATATATGGCTAAACATACAGCAAATGGTTCATAAGGGAAGTTTTGTATATTTGCGTAATAAGAACCCTTCTTAGGTGACTTTATAGAGGCATCAAAAAAAGCAATTTAATTTTGCTTTTTACTGCTAATGTTTTTACAGGTCTACCCCATCTCGTACCTAAGAATCTCCATGAGTCCTATTCTGCACACACAAAACAAAGAGTCATTATCAGCTCTCCCCCTGGGTGTGACACTGACATTTACAGTCCATTTTCACGATAACTCTGGAGATACTTTTCATTCACATAATTCTGTGCTCAACTTTGCAACAAACAGGTAGGTATCTATCACGGGTGTTAATTACAGAGAACAAAAAAGGCCAAATACACATAGCCCAGCCAAGACAAAGATTGTTCCAAAGATATCAAGTGAAGATAGAGCATGGACTTGGATTACAAAGAAAGGATTTCGTCTCTGTGGTCTTCAGAGGCACCATAGAAGAAGAGTTCCAGTTAGCAATCGATATTCTCTAGCAAGTGGAAAGTTGCCCAGATAAGCATGATCCCCAGCGGGGTGTGCTGGGGTACATTTCTGCTTTAAGTGACTCTGAATCATCAGATTGCATACATCAGTGGCCTATATAAACAATTGATCTTATTAGCATTTGCCTCATCTTGCCTCTTTTCTCCTAGTGCTTTGTTACACTGACTCGCTGAAGTCTTACATAAGACGGTGAGCGTTCTGGATCAGGGGCTGTCTCTTCAGATATGCTTGTACAGCCTTTGCACAGCAGAGCCAAGCCTCAAAAGGCCTTTTGGTCTCTGCCTCAAAGAATGATAAATATTATAAACCAGCCTTCTTTGGTCATTAGTAAACAATCACTAATTCCATTACTATAACATAACTTGTTTTCTGCAGGGCACTTTACAGTGATCATGATTAAAAGGGAAAAAAACCCCAAATGGTTGAATGCAAGATTTTTTCATTCTTCTACCTAAATGCTCTGCAGAAATTTCAGTAGCATACAGAGGTGCCTGAGGTAACACTGCTGTAGCTTCCAAAATAGACGTGACAGAGCTGCTTCAGCATAGGACTAATTATTTAGCCCTAGGGAGTGAAGCACTGCTCGTTAACCTCAGGTGCAGCACTGTGGTGACCCAGCTCTACTGCTGTCAAGACCTTCACTGTCTCTGCGTGGTGCTGCCAGGGTGGCAGTCTCTGTCCTGGGTACACTTCCAAGCGCTCCGTGTGCCAATGAGTTTGCGAATGCTGAATTTTGGTAAATATCAGAACTCGCAATCAAATGTGATGTAGCTTTGTAAAGTTATGGCTGGAAAGCTGCATATTGGTGTTTCAATTTCTTTGCTTAACTCCCTGAGAAAAGAGAGAAGAGACGGATTACCTCATTCTAAAGTTCTACAATTCTTATAATTAGGAAGTAGTTTTTGTACATAATTATGACCTCAGTATTTCCTCAGCATAATGATGTGAGAACTGAAATTTGCCTCAGTAGCACCTAAATCATTTTTCTATTTTCCTTATTTTGTCAGACTTCATTAGAAGATAACCATTGCTAAAAACAAGAAGTCCACCATCTAAAAAGATACCTACTATTTATTGTAGAGATAATGACATTAGCTAACTTGCCTTAATATAAAAACATTTCTTTTTATCTGTAGAGATGACTTTGTACAGATTGGGAAAGGAGCCACAAACAACACATTTGTAATCCGGACTGTAAACGTAGGTTTGACCTTGCTTAAAGTCTGGGATGCAGAACATGGTGGAATCGCAGACTACATCCCGCTTCCTGTGCAACATGCCATTTTTCCTGAACTCATAGATGTGGTGGTAGGTGATGTACTCTGTTTGAGTACTTCACTGATAAACCAAGAAGGTAAGGGGCACTTCCATTGCTGTGTTTTTGCAGCCCTATAATTTGACATCAGTGTGACTCTTTCTGATTCTCAGGAAAACTAAACGCATAATTTATGATGTTTGTTCAGAATCAAATGTCACTGTTCTTGTTAATGATAAAAATAGATTTGATCAACTTTTCTAATTTTAATTGTACCATGCAATGTGTCACTTGTATTGAATCCACGAGTATCAGACTTCAGACATTTCCGTTCCATTAGCTTGAAAGCTTGTTTTTTATGGGAATCATGCAGAGTCAGGACTGTCTAACTTCACTCATTGTATTTGATTCTTAGTATTAATGGGCTTTTGCCAGAGTAACTGCAAGTCAGTTTGGTGTTGGGCTGCCAGCCTTCCACCACGTGAGACCCTAGAATCTCATTTCTGTGAATTGGGAAGTGTGTGTACACATGCTGCCTGTGCAGTGGGTACAAACATACAGACACCAAAGTGATAATGAAATGCGTCAGTTAGTGTAAATTTGTTGAACAGTGTCCAAATGGTGTGTCTTCTCAGGCTTGCCGGGTATATGGAGCTCCTCATTAAGTAGCATTCTTCAAATCGACCCCAAGACTGGTGTAGCAGTGGCAAGGGATTCTGGTGTTGTTACTGTCTATTATGAGATTCCTGGATCACTTAAAACATACAGAGAGGTGAGGCACTGTTAAATCCTACCAGAACTGCTGACATTTGTTTGCTTCAGTGGACCCTCAGCAAAAATGTATTTTATGATTTTTTTTTTTGTTATTATAAATATTTAGGAACATTCTCTTGAAAGGAAAAAGTATTAGAAATTAAAATGGTTGGAAAGTATTTGGTATGTGTCCAAACACATAATGTTTTTTTAACCATCTATGTTAAGGAGGAAAATTTAGCGTACTAGTTCTATTTTTAGCCTATACTGTTCTTATATTGTACATTTTGATTCCTTTGCTTGGCTAAGTTCTTTCAAATTTTGAGTATGGCTGCTTTTATGAATGAAGTTTCACTGCACGATGAGATGCCAAGAACTTTCTAAAGTGTTCTATCATATTACTATGCATCACTGATCCAAACTACTCAAATTGTTTTGTTTATCTACAGTGCAATCATACTGTTAACACAATTTACTGTATCAGCCAACATAAGCACACAAAGCACACACAAGCTAACACAAAGCTATTATTTTTATATTAAGTTTAGACATCAAACTTTGTCTCTTAACTTACAGGGGTTGGGTAGAAAGAAAAAATGTTTTTACTAGCTTAAATTGCCTTGAAAGGCAATTTCTTAAAATTAGAGAGATGTAGGATTTCTTACAAAGAGAAACATGACCTCTTGGAGTCTTCCCTTCTGTTACACATACAAGGATGTGTGCATTTCACAATCAATCCAGTCTGGTTTTGCCTTAATTTTTACTTGTTAAAACAGTTTTTAGTAACAATGTACCTCATCCTTTTTTCAGATATTGATTAGTATACCTCAGAGGACTACAGCCATGCATGTAAGTGGAGTGAAAACAAGCTTACAAGGAGTTGCAGCCTCAAAAGTGATAGTTTCAATTGGGGAAAGAACTAAAAATCTGAAAGGTATGATGTAAAAAAAATCTTTATGCTAATTATTTATTGCATGTTTGTATGTTCATGATAGGTGGTTTTGATTTGTGTTTTGGTTGGGTTTTTTTTTGTTTGTTTGTTCTTAAGGGTCTGTGAAGCTGGTAGAGCAAGATCTCTATGAACCTCTAGTGCCTTTCTGGAATCCCAGGGGCTCTAGAAGTATCTTAGGGCCATGTTACAGAATTTGGAGGGTGTTCTGGACACTATTAAGATTTCACAACTAATAAGATCGGTAGATAATAGAAGTGTCATTTTTGATCGTATCAAAAGACTCTTAATAGGCAACCAGCTGATTGTTTGCCTATATGTTTAATTCCAATTAAAGTTGGAAGTTGAAGTTACTGGTTTTTCTTATTGAGTATGTTTAAAGTAGTTACGATCCTTATATCTTTTACAGAAATTATCAGCAATTAGAATCAATACAAAGATTAGGCATCATATTGTGTCCTCTATTTAGTAAGCTGTATTTTGTTTGATTATGGTTCCTTTTAGGTTTTAGCTTAACACTTCGCACTTGTTCAAATAGTATTTTATTGTGTCTTATGTAAATTATTAGCCTACCAAAAAAACATCTTGCCAGATACTAAAATATAAATCAAGACTTCCAGGATCATGTAAGTTATTCAACAGACACATCTGAGCTGAAAATTCTGTCTAGTTCATTCTTTCCTGTAAATAAATTATTCCTGTCAAAAACCTCCACAACATATAAAATTTTCATTTGCTGTGTCTTTGGGATTAGACCTGAGATAGGACAGCTGTCTATAATTTCCAGCTATTTTAAGATCATCTTAACCTTGTGAAACTATTTCAGAAGGTGGCAGAATAACCTGACAGTTCAACCCATGGTTTTGCTTTTAAATAATTAAAAAATCAATTAGTTATAATTTTCTTTTCTAATTAATTAGAGATTAATTCTTTTTTTTTTTCTTCCCCTTAGGGGAGTGCTTGCCTGCTCAGATTGAAGCCATTGCTGAATTACAACCACAGTCCATTATCAATTGCCATCTAGATTTTAACAATGATGCGTTTGACTTCCCAGCACGTGATATTTTTATAGTAGAACCTGGATTTGATGCAGTTTCAGGTGAGATAAGACAAGATACCACAGTCCAGGCAATGCTTTGAATCCTGCTGTGGTTTAGTCCAAAAGCCCTTTGACCTAGCAGATATGCTTCTGAAGCCCCTGTGCTTTGCTGTGTAGGATCTCAGGCTTCAGTGAGTTGTTAACGTGTACTCTCCTTGTTTAACTCTAGGGTTTTCTGCATGTGACAAAAACAGTTATTTCTTTGCAGAGAAAGCCAGAAATCTATTGGCAGCCCATTTCATATATTTTTCAGAGTAGTTGTTGTAAGTCACGGAGAAACTCAGAAGCATTATTTTACTGGCGGGGTGTGGAGGGAACAAACTTTGTTATCTTTTTTGACTACAGATTAGGTCCTAATTTTGCACATTACTACTCATATATTTGTAGATATGTAGATAGTCCAATGGTACCTTGAGACAGAAGTGATGGTATTGCAGAATGTAGACATAATTGGGGGTCATACTTTTTAGGGCTAGCAGCTGCCATGTTTTACTCCAGCTGAACTGTACAAAAAATAGATTGCCTTGTGTATAACACTCTAGAAAAGAATATCAGGCCCTGTATTTATTAAACTGTGGAAGCAAAACATTTCCTCCTTCAGCTGGTACAAATGAGCACTCAGGCGACAAATATTCCAAAACTGGGTATCTCTGCAGCTGTAAACATCTAGTGGTTCTTTTAGGTGTTTTCTTGCCATACATCAGTGCCTTTACTGTATGCTTCAAGGCAGTGGAAGCTAAGACTAAGGATAAGTGAAGCAATCATGAGTTTTAATGTCTGTGTATCAAGGATCTTTAGATTTCCCCAAATTACGCTGTACAGTCAAATATTCTTTGTGCTTGATGGTGGCCTTTTAAAAGCCCTGCCACTGTAGTTATTGTGGTGAAACTAACCTCAGTGATTAAAATGAGGGAAATAGTGTAAATGTGAAAACTGGGTGAAAGTAATACATTTTGAATTCTTTGTATTCTGCAATTTAAACGTTTCTGGAATTTATCATGCTTTCAGACTTTCCTGCACAACCCAAGTGCTATAATTTCTTATAAAAGGTAGAATTCTTATGTATCCCCAAAACAACATGAACTGGGACTTAAAAGGAGGGGAAATTACCAGATACTGTGGAAATGGAAATAAAATTGTGAAAGTCTACAACATGTCTTAGTGTTTCATAACTATAACATGATGGACTGTATGGAAATAACATTAGTTATCTGTTAGATTAGTCCCTGTACCCATTGTGTAAAACATTATTATACCTTGTAACAGAGGCAGGCACTATTATGCTTGTTAGGGAAAGAAAATACGGGGAAAACATGTACCTAGCAAATTCTGCTTGTTACTTATTCCTTGTGTCTTCCATACTGGGGGAATGTTTTACTATCTTTATCACTAATAATAGACAAATAGGTCCCATAAGAGACTAGAAACATAGTGAATATCTAACTTTAAAGAAGCTTTTATAAATAATAAACCATGTCTCCACAGAATTGGTGACCATAACTGACTAAAATTTTAACATTAGATGAAGAAAATATGAAATAGGATGTTAAATTTTGTTTTCAGTAAAGCCTTTCTATCAATATTATTAGCATAAATGTTATATTCAAAGTGGAATTGAGTCTCACTGGCATGTTAAAATAAAATGTGAGTAGAAACTGCCATTTTAGTGTTTTTTATCATGATGTTTAGTTTGGGACAAGAAATATCTTCTGTTGTTTTAGTACTAGGATTGTGATGCTTGGAGCAGCAGACACGCTGTCCCATTCACCTACGCACTCCTGATCTTGCTGTTTGTTGAATTTTTACCACCTTTTTTTGCTCTTCTTTAAAAACGTCACAGAAATCTCACTCTGCAAGGGGAAGAACCATAAAGATGAGCAATTAATAGTCAAACTGCTTTTGTTTCTATAGGACATTACACTTGTTCCATCACAATGCACAGGCTTACTGACAAGCAGCTGAAGCGTCTCAGCATGAGTAAAACTGCACTCAGAGTTACAGCTTCAATCCACGGCAGCCGCTTCTCGGGGGAGCAGATCAGCACTGAGGTGCCATTCAATCCTGGGTTTTATGCTGACCAAACGGAAATGCTTTTAAGTAACCATTACACAAGCTCTGAAGTGAAAATATTTGGTGCCACTGAAATTCTTGATACCCTGGAGGTGAGTGTACTGCTGGAAAGTATCACAACACAGTTGAAAGCTGCACTTGAACTGTTACATGCGCTTTTCTAACCAAAGACACTCTGTACCACCTTTAGCATGTCAAGATTGCTCCTGAGGTGATTTGGAAATACTCCTCTTGGAATGTATTCCTCCTCAGTTTTCACTTTTGTTTTGGGGTAGTAGAAATGTGTCAGGTTCATCTGTGCACTAGCTGGGATGTAACCAGCTCACAGGTGAGGAAGCAGAAAATCTGCCTGATCCCTAAGGGCAAGGGGTAGGTTCTTGCCCACTTACTTGTTTGACTGCCCATGATTCACGTAGCTCAGTAAGGGATGTTTTGATTTTTGCCTGTATGGGGTTAGCCCAGACCCACAGAAATAGCAGTTAATAGGGCAACCTGAACAATAAACAGGGTGAAGTGCTGCAGGTGTCGCTGTAAAGTTACAACCAAGTCCGACTCCTGCTGAGGGGTGAGTTGCTTTCTGTTTCTGTGGAATGACATATGGCTGACATGTGGCCTGGAAGATGGATATGTGCTGTGCTTTCTCAAGCAGTCTATTTCAGGTTGTTTTTTTTCCTTGGCAGGTGAAATGTGGGTCACCAACAGTGAAGGCGTTTGAGAAAGAGAAATTCTACGGGCTGCCTAGTTATGTAGTCTACACTGTTAGTCTGTCTGATCCCAGGGTTTCAAGCCAGGGATCCTTATCAACCACTCTAACTGTCTCTAGTCCTATGACTGACCAGTCGATCACTATCCCAGTGACAGTGATTTACTTGACTGACAGACCCAGTGCACCAGTGAGACGTAAGTTTATCTCTAGACTTCATATGTCAGAATAAACCTCTAACTTCCATTAATGTTCATGAGGTTATAAAATGGGGTGTGTTAAAATCTTAGCTGGCAGCTAAGGTTATCATTGACATGCAAGCTGCTCACTGTTACCAGAAGACTGGAATACAATTGCTCATTATGACTGAAGCTGAACATATTTTCCTTTTGGGTCAGCCTAAAGTACTCTGTTGAAGTTGGCAGAAATATCCCAGTGCTACAGTGTCTGAAAGTTTTCGGGGTTTGTTTGGGTTTTTTTTTCTACTCTGCTTTTATTTACTCTCAAGCATGCCTTGTTATTTTAAACAGACTAGCATTTTGGGGCTGAGAAAGTAAAGAACACACTTAAGACAATGTATATCAATGTCTTTAGCTGTTACTGGCAAATTTTGAAGACTGCGTTGGAAAGTTGTATTATCTAAGTTGATTATACTTATTTGTTATAATTAAAAACCTTCTTTTGGCTGTTTCAGCTTGAGTTAAGAACTGTTAACTCTTAAAGCAGATTGGAGAAGATGCTCTTTTAACTCAATGTTGTCTGCTCTTAATCGATTCTACAGATGGAGCCAGTCTATTCCAGCACTTCCTTGATTCTTATCAAGTAATGTTCATCACACTTTTTGCACTATTAGCAGGGACAGCTGTTATGATTATAGGTAAGAGAACAAAAGATTGCAAAAGTATTTTTTTCCTGTAACTTTTTACAATGCTTTAGCTGTAAGATATAAAGGAATAATTTCCATGTGAAATGATTTTTTTGTTGTTGTTGTTTTTTGGGGTTTGTTTTCACAATGTCTTGCAGCTTATCATGCCGTTTTCTCACCGAAAGAACAGCACAGTCATCCAGCATTTACCCCAAGGACAACTCGGCAACACAGCCATAACAGTAAGCAGCTGTTACCCAGTTACAAATGAATTCATTGATAAGTCATAGCTACTGCGTTTGAGTTGAATGTAGGGAGGTATGATTATGAGAGAAACTGTGTACTGAATTATATTACAACAAGCACTGTGCTTAGGAAATTTGTTGCCCATCCTCCTGCCACACGCCCCAACCTCCCCTTTACCCACGGCTAGTTCTTTTGATATTCTTGGCCAGCTTCAGCCACATTGGAAATAAGGAGTGGGTTAAAAGTGTAAGAATTCATGCAAATCACCACATGGGTAGAGGAGAGCGAGCCACAATTCTGCTTCCACTGAGGGAAAGTAAAGCAGAGCTCAGCTACTGATAGGATGTGTTTGGCAGCAGCTGGCTGGTCAGTCAGTTCATGCGACATCGGATCAGGTGCAGCATGTGCTGCATCTCTTGTGCTGCCTGCATGCTGCGAGTTGCTGTGAACTGGGGCTATTGTAAGAGACCGGGAAGGACAAATGCTAGGGGACAAAGGACACAAGTCCATAGAAGACTTAGTTGTGTTGCTCAGGGAATAGTTTGTTCCTTCGCTGCTTTTGATCGATCTTGCCGTCATGTTTTATCTGTTTTTTGACATCATATTTATTCCCTATTTTACCTATTTGCAGTGTTGCAGAATCAAACTCAGAAATATAAAAACATACCCCTTCACTTGGAAGGTCTGTCTGTAATCAACAGCAGCTATTAAAACAAAATTCACGTTATTACAGATGTACTGAATTACAGTGAGCTGCAGTCCTTTTTGTAAAAACATGTCTGAAGCTTCAGATAAATTAAGGCAAATTCAAACTGCAAAGTTATTTGCTGAGGTGAAATGTGTTGTGCCCCTCTCAGAAGACTTAATCAATTCTTTAATTAAAGACCTTAATAGGAAGGCCTCCAAAATTTTGATACTTGGGTGTTTTCAATGGTCAATAAGCTAAAGGGGTTATTTCACTTTGAATGGATCATTAGACTCACTTGCCAGGTGTTCCAGCAGATGATCAAGAGCAGTTACTTGTTTCTTACTTCTTCCACCATTCCTGAGTATGATTTGGGTTTTTTTCCTTCTTTTCCCATGTGTTTTAGGTTTCTCTATATCACCTGTGCTTTCCTTCAGTCCGCAGTCCTCAAGCAGGAAAACAAGCCCATCATCCACGCTCTGGAGCACTGATTATGGTTCACGTTAGAGACAGCAGGACTCATCTTCATGCACTGGGGTGGGGGGGGAACAACAAACAGAAACAAAAAACCACCACAAAATGCAAACTTAAAAAAACACCAAAACAAACAGTGCCTTGAATAATAGCAAATTTAAGAACTTTCACAGTTTGGATATAATTCAAGTCATTTCTTGAAAGTAACTAGCTTCATTTTTTTTTTTTTTTTATATTTAGAGCTCTTTGAATTTTTTTTTTATGTCAGTGTTTGAATTTGCTAAAACTTATTTTATCTGCTGTTTTATGCTCCTTTGACAAGGATGACTGGACAAAGTGTTTATGCTAAGCTAGATGTCTTGCACTCTTCAAGCAACTAGAAGTTATGTCTAAGTGATAGTGATAAAAGTTTTATTTACTTTTTGTAAAAATTTACTTTCTTTTTAATGAACTTTTTAAAAAAGGGAAATGAAAAACAGGTCAAATATAAGCCAAAAATAAGAAGGATTATATATTTCAAAGAACTAGTTTTTTTATTTTGAGTTCCAAAGACTCAGGAATGTACTGCACTGATAAGTGTTCTTATGTTTAGCCTTACAATGTGATTCATCACCATAATTTGCTGTTTTAACATTAGGAATGCTGGAACAACTGTGAATAATTTGGAGGGTTTTTTATAACAACAAAGAAAAAGAAAAACATAACTATCTTAGTGTGGCTTCCTTTGGGTACAACTGCAGTATTCCTTTTGTGTTACTGTAAGCACTTTTTTGGACTGGGAATGTGAAAGAATGTGCCTTCTAACAGGACCTTTCTTCTGGTAGTAAATATTTTTAATTGAAGGCAATTATCTTACCTGTGTTCTGATATAAATATAGCACATTTATATAGGTCATTTCACACATAGAAGTACCTCAATAGAAACTGAGCTTCCTTTTATTACCACTAGTCACCTGTAGCACTGGAAAGTAAGTGGCTTATTTCACACTTACGATGAGTGACCTTTTCAGTTGGTTCAGTCTACTTGTCTCTGCTGTATTCGTGTACAAACTGACACAGCCACACCCAGAATCTTCATTTAAATTATACAGTAAGGTATTACTGTTATAATGAGACTTTGGAATATTTGTACCATAATATCCTACAAATAAGTGCTCATTTGTAAGTCTGTAAAACACAATGTAGCATTTAATTGCGTAAGTATTAATGTGGGGGGTTTTTGGTTGACTTTTTTTTTTTTCCCCTTGACTCGCTAAGACACACAATTCCAGGTACATCAGAAAGTATTCTGCTAAAACAGGCAGTTGATCACTATGTGCTCAGATGTGTTTTGCTTTCTAAACAACATGCCAGAGAGGTATGCCGACTCAAACTTTTTTTTCAAATTAATTTTAAACAGATGAGAAGAAAAACTTGGCTCCAATTCTTAGACCTAAAGTACTTCCCTCAGAACAGAAAAAAAAAAAAAATCTCAGTTGGAATCCTTTATTTTGAGGATTATAACCATAATTACAGTAACTTTTAATCCATAAGCAGTACTTTGCAGCTATCAGATAAGGGCTTTGTTTACTTATAAGAAGTATCACAGTTTTAATTGTGAGAAATATTCTGGCTGGCTGAACTCAGTTAAGGACCATAATGAAAGTGATTGCAATTGTTCTTCAAAGAACAAAATATTTCATGCAAAATATATTATGTGTGGAACTATGTGGGCAAATAGTCAGAAGAATGGAATGCAGACATAGTTTATGGCATACTTTTTTTGTTTCAGGCAGTATTACAAAAAAGCAACATTGTTCCCGTGTTATTACGTTGAGTCTTGTGTAACTTATTGGCTGGTTTTGGAGTTGTGCCTTACATGCTCTACTACTTAAAATTGACAATTTGGATGTAAATAATAATCATTTGTTATCTGTATTATTTAATAAAGCTTTGTAAGATTCCTTTAGTATGCTGTTGATGAACTTTCTTGTGTTTTGGCTATTCCAAATTTAACACTACGCTATATTGTTTGTACTTCACCTCCTACAGCCCCTTAGTATTTGCAATCATGATTTTACATTCTTAATCTTCACTTTTGTTGACAATGTAATGTTTTAAAATATTTTTGACAATTTTTCATCTAGTATTTGATGTCAGGGGCTTTCCCCAGTTCTCACTGAGCATCTTCAATTCCT